AGTTTTTATTCCTAAAACTTTTTAGGTACTCTTTCAAAAAATTTGATATAGTTTCTCTCTCTAAAAAATTAAAAATATTAGATTTTTCTCTCTTTAAAATTTTTGAAATAGTTTGTCTCTCTAAAAAATTGAGATAGTTTATCTCTCTAAAAATTTGCGTATATCTCTAAAATATGATAGTTTCTCTCTAAAACTTAAATTTTAAGATAGTTTCTCTCTCTAAAATTTTTAAATAGTTTATCTCTCTAAAGTTTTTGATACTTTCTCTTTCTAAAATTTTGACATACTTTCTCTCTCTAAAATTTTAACATACTCTCTCAAAAAGTTAAAATTTGCGATAGTTTCAGATAGTTCATCATTCTATAAAAATTTGGTATTTTCTCTCTCTTTAAAATTTTAACAACTTTCTCTCTCTAAAATTTTAACAACTTTCTCTCTCTAAAGTTTTAACATATTTTCTCTCTCTAAAAGTTAAAATTTAAGATAATTCTTCGCTCTAAAAATTTTGAGATACCAAATCCAAATAGTCCAACCAAAAAGGCAAAACCAGCGATCAAACCAGTTCGATGGAATAAGGTTCCGGTCATTGATTCCACTCGTCACAGCACCGATTGGGTCCAATTTTAATAGCTTTGGTTTATATAGCGAATTTGAAGAATTCCAAGTGAAGTATTTTGGATGAATCAATTTTTTTAGTAGCAAACGGCTTCGAGTGTTCCACGAAACGTTAAAAAAAAAAATCCTTGTTGAGACAAAGAGAAAGGATCACCACACATTAACTACCATATTTCATGAACGATCTTACCCTCAGTCGAGCATTTTTTTTTTTCTTGACAAAAAAGAAAAAAACTATAAGAAATTTGTAATTCTTACAAAAGAGAATAAGAAATTTCAGATCCTCTTACTCAAGACATGCACTTGGACCATTAAAAACAAAAACCCAAACTTCATCTCTCTCTCTCTCCCCGTGCTAAAGAAAATTTCATTGAACATGAAAAGGATATACAAAACAAACACAGATGACATGAACATATTATACAACAGACTTACATCCAAACAATACAAGCACCTAATAAGATTACATATCCAATACGACATTCTTACACACTTCTTCACACTCTAATCTTCTGAAACTGGTTATATAACTATAAACTCATCACCTATTTCTTATGGGAAATAAATGTTGCAATCGCGTGATCAAAATCTTAACGATGAAGTCCATGACTTTGAGAACTACATGGTTCCATTTCCTTTTAAAGGCTAGAACTGAGAACCATCCTCCAAATCCAATCCCAAATCCCAAGCCCACACTGATCCAAAATTGTCGGACCTCCGGTGGCCCAGTTCTCAAATCCTCATCATTGTTAAATCTTGCAACTAACTCATGACTATCACACGTCTTAGGAAGAGGAGGACCGCAAAGATCTTCGTTTCCATAGTATGCTGAGGCATCAAATGTAATCATGTGGTCAGCGTAAGGAACTAGACCTGACAAATTGTTGTTGGACAAGTTCAATGCGCCCAAGGAATTCATTGATGACATGCTCGGAGGAATGCCACCAGAGAATAGATTGTTCGAGAGGTCCATCGATTCTAGCTCTTGCAATTGATTAATCTCTTGAGGAATCTTCCCAATCATGTGGTTTCCAGATAGGTTTAACACGCGCAAGCCTATCATTGTCAATGATTCTGGAATTCTTCCCGAGAAATTATTTCTCGAAAGATCTATGCATGTCACAAGAGAGAGAAATTCGGTGTATTCCATCATTGACCCTTTTTGCCATTATATCAATTCTCACCATATAATAGAAGTTGTGCTTGAGATCGTAATTGTAATCAGCCATCTTCTCTGTAACTTTCATTGCTGTGAAGTTTGTGAAAATGTCAGGGATAGTGCCTGAGAGGCAATTTTCAGCAGCATCGAAAACTTGAAGCGAGTATAGACTTGGCATAGTCTTAGGAATGGCCCCAATATGCTTGTTAGATCTCAGAGAGAGAAAACGAAGTGAGGTAAGACTTTGGCCAATCCATGATGGAAAATTTCCCGATAATTGATTGTCACCAAGATCCAAAAGCTCTAGCTGGGTACAATGTTTAAATGACGATGGGATCTGGCCTGATAATGTATTGCCTCTCAACCTTAATATCGTCAAATTTTTCAAGTTTCCCATGGAAGTGGGAATGGGTCCCATCAATTTATTTTTATAAAGCTGAAGAACCATCAAACCCTCCATATTCCCTATGGAGTTGGGAATAAATCCTGAAATATTGTTATTGGAGAGATCCAAGATCGATAGATTTGGCACGACTTCTCCAACATTTTCTGAAATACAACCAGAAATTTGATTATTTGAGAGACGCAGTACTTCTAAATTAGGAAGCTTGACATATGTCTCAGTTGTGTTCACTAGGTCATAGCATGCAACCTCTCGGATTGTCACTGTGCTCGTACAATGTTTCAAGAATCCTGGCAATAATTTCATGCTTTTGCAAATCTGACTGCGTATATCAGTTGAGGAGCTGATATTCAACATTTCAAATTTTTTTCCCAAACCCAACCTAGTATTTCCAGAAAAGTTGCCGTAGTTGTATAGAAGTTGAAGTCCTTGAGGGTCAGACGCGGTGTGGATTAATTGGCCTTGAAATCTATTTGAACTTAAATCCATAGTATATATGGATTTAAGATTCCAAATCTCAGGAGGAAGAGATCCCATCAACTTGTTATTAGATAGGCGCAAAGTACTAAGCATGGAAATGTTTCCTATGGATGGAGGGAGCGATCCTGTGAAATTGTTGTAGCTTAGCCATAATTGAGTTAGCTTGGAAAGGTTTCTTATGGAGGGAGGGAGGGATCCTGTGAAGTTGTTGCCAGATAGATCTAAGTTAGTCAGCTTGGAAAGGTTTCCTATGGATGGAGGGAGGGATCCTGTTAAGTGGTTTCCAAATAGCCATAATTGAGTTAGCTTGGAAAGGTTTCCTATGGA